AAAGTTAACAAATTAACAAAACCAATAAATAAAACTTAAAACTGATAAAAGATATAATGTGTAAAACCATATGTGTTAAAAGTTCCACAACTGAATTGAAAACACGGGAATTAAAAAAGTTTTCAAGAAAATCTTTTTCTAATACTCTCTCATCAATATCTAGCTCTAATCCTATCAGCTTCATACATTTGTGGTTCAACATCAAAGTCGGTTAAAACAGTAGAAACCAATAATTACCTGCAAAAACATGAAACATGTGGCATAAAATTTAATAATATGTATTTACAATTTGGAATATGTTGATATTAATATAAATTATATACTGATCATATTTTTAACTGACCCAAATTGTTGTGGACCAGCTTCATGCAAGAAACATAGAGTATGGATTTGTTGTATGTTGCAACAATAACCTTAATCATAAGGTTTGCTGGTACGTTATACAACAATAACTTTGTTACGTTCCCCCTATTAAAAGGTAATGCTGTTTAAACTCTTATAATGAATGATAATAAATTTAATAAAAAACTATGTTGTTTTAATTTTTTTTTAAATACATATATACTTACGTCTCATCTTGGAGAATTAACTCAAATGATCGCAGCTGTCTGATTCGATTTCCCCATACTATTCTTCCAACCACATCTAAAAAACATATTTTCTTGTTAAATTTATAGTAGATGATATAAAAATGATTAAAGAAAAGATATAAATATACCAACAAGCCTTCTTTTATTTGTATGATCTTGTGCAAACAGTTGTGACAGTAGACACAATTGGATAAAGTGGATATCCACTGGCAAAATCGCTTACTAACCGAGTAAAAGTTGTGGCATGGTTTATCATTATCGCCTTATCACTGGTGCAGATTTTGTACTGTTGTACATTGATTGTCCAAATGGTATTCATCAACTTGGAAATGTTGCACAGAGAATACATTTCCTTTCAGATTCATGTTTCGATATCCGGGCACTAAATGGCGAGGTATGATTGCTAATATTTTTTCTCTCTGGTGTAAATAACAAAATGGTAATGGTATTATTTACAAAATTAAACTTTTAATAGAAGTTGAATATTTTAATTGGAAAAAAACCTTACCTGGCGATCTATCATCCACAAGAGCATCCTGTTGTTTTCCATGTCCTCCCAAACATACAATACTCTAACACTTGTAATGTTCCACCATTCATATATTTGCCCCAAAGCAGAAAATTCATTAACAGTAGTATGATAAATATCCATTTCAACTGAAAAACACTTCAGTTAATAATTGCTATACTTGATGGTTTTTCTAATACATATTGCTTGTACTATGAAATAAAGTAAAAGTTCAATACCTGTTTGATTCTGATATAGCATATAGAACAGATGGTTTTATGAAATCAATGGAACAAATGGTTTGATGGTAAAGTATGGAAGCAAGATTCGTAATCTTAAATACGTATATATGTACAGATTACAAAACATGTTTGTTATTAATGGATGAGATAGATTTAATGTATATCATCAGTTTTTTTTTTAAATGACAATTTAAAAAATCCTAATCAGTTTGGATAGAATTTGAAGTGCTTATCTGATAAGCACTATGATAATTTCGAAGTTAGTGTTATCTTTTTCTAATTAATAATGATATAAACTGTAAAGATAATTTCGAAATTAATATGTTGACTAACATTGATCCTTAAAATTTGGGATATGAATGGTTTTGAGCGGGAAAATATTGACACCTGGGTAACCCTCTACAATAAATACCTATGTTTGCTTCTCTGAAATTCGATAATGACTTGATTCTTCCACCTGGGAAGAAGGTATGTTCACATATTTTTTGTTTTCTCTTTTGATTTAATTGTTACGTTGTAACTAATACTACTTTTGACATAGAAAAACGGCCATAATGTCGAACTCAAGTAGCATTGTAAATAAGCAGGAATGTGAACAAATCATCCTTCAACTTTGTATGCATGAGAAACATGAGAAAGAAAAGAAAAGGGAATGGGCATTGCTAAATTGGAATTGGGATGAGGTTATTGATATTCTAAGTTCTGAAGATGAAAAGCTGGATGATGAAGCTGTGGAAAAGTCTGACACATTAGATTCAACAAAACCAAAAACTTTGTCACCACCACTGAAGAGACCCCGTGTCAAAGTTCAAAGCCGAAACAGATGTTATAGGCTTCGTGATGAAGAAGATGGTGAATTTCCTGTTGATGTCGGGTAAGATCATTTGTACTTTGTTTTACAAACGATCATGAAAAACTGTTTTTTTTATATATTTCAAGGATCAAGAAACTTATGAATGCCTTAAATTTTATTTTTTTGTCAGGAGTGGTTTGATTACTGTTGCAGCTGAAAACCAGCCATCTCAGGATGATGAAGATGCAGTTGTTAACACCTAAGTTTTTTTAGTAGATTTATTTGATGTTGGAATTTTTATGGTTGTCTTTTTTTTGGATTGTTTCAAATAAGTAACATGTTTTTATGGTGTTGTTTTTCCTTTGCTATTACATTATTATTTTCTGGGGTATAAATGCATGCCTTGTTTTTATGTCTTTTAAAAGGCAACCAATGTCACACAATCCATAGGTATTTATTGTAGAGGGTTACCCAGGTGTCAATATTTTCCCGCTCAAAACCATTCATATCCCAAATTTTAAGGATCAATGTTAGTCAACATATTAATTTCGAAATTATCTTTACAGTTTATATCATTATTAATTAGAAAAAGATAACACTAACTTCGAAATTATCATAGTGCTTATCAGATAAGCACTTCAAATTCTATCCAAACTGATTAGGATTTTTTAAATTGTCATTTAAAAAAAAAACTGATGATATACATTAAATCTATCTCATCCATTAATAACAAACATGTTTTGTAATCTGATTAAATGTCACACATATGACATTTAATCAGAAAATCGATCATTCTTCAAATATGACATTTAATCAGAAAATCGATCTAAAAATGAGACATTTGGTGTTTATCGATTTTTCAGGGTCGACGGGTTGTATGAAAAGCGAAGGCTGAGTAATTGAAAATTAGAGGATCGATGGTTGCTACTAATTGCTTGTAACTGGTATTGGTTTCATATCGATGGATGTGGATTCGCATATGAAATCAATTGTGTTCGCATATATGAAATCAGTTCACATATGACATCAATTGAGTTCGCATTTGGTTTTGTGGGTCAAAACAGTTCGCATAAGAAGTTCACGATTTGTTTGAGGTTAATTGATTTTGATTTCGCAAGCTTGGAGTCGGAGATCTGGATTGTGTTCGCATCTATAGAATGCGAGGAGAATTTAATGGTGATATTCAGTTCGCATTTGGTGACACAAGTACGTGGTTGATGATTTTTGGTTGGTTCGCATTTGAAATCAGTGGGTTTCGCATTTAGGTTCGTATCTGGGTTTCTCAAACAACTGAAATGCGAATATGAGACAACTGATTAATTTCTCAGTTAATGCGATGAAATGCGAATGAACTCAAAGACGGATGGATGCAAGATGCGAAGAATTTGAATGAAAATGCAAAGTTTTTAATGTATAAATGCGAATGAACTCAAAGACGGAAGAAAGTTTTTAATCTTAAATGAAATCATAGTTTCCTAATAAATTAATTAACAAAATACTTAACCCGAAAACAAAATCGAAAACCAAAATATAACCACATAACGTGAACCCACCAAACCAATTACGAATGTCAAAGAAAGACACATGAGAATTAACAAAAAAAAAAAAAAAACTTTCATTCACAAATGGTATAATGCATAAATAAAGCTTATTTTTTTCATTTACATACAAAATATTAAGAACAAAACACTCCCATGTTCTTGTACATGATACATACAAAACAAAGAAGAAACTATTATTCATATGGTACCTTCAAATATAAGAATGATACAATAGTCAAATATGTATATGATAAAATTTGAAACAAATCAATCCAAATTCACAAAATTTTGTCAGTTAAATTTTTTTTGTTGTCTGACAATAAATGAAACCAAAAACTTATGCATTGCAATTTTCAAAAACAAAACTTACAAATGGGTTTACCCCAAACAATAACAAAAACTTACATATTGCAACTTTAAAGAAAAAACTAAACATTCAACTACAAGAGCTCTAAAAACCCAACAAGAAGATCATATTCAGATCTTAAGAAGCTTACCCACGATTTCTTTGAGATGTTGGTTTATATCAATCCATTTCAAGTCCTGTAAACACACATAAACACAAAGTTAGACATACGCATAGATACAGGACGATGGTCAGCAGCACCGGAATTTTAGAAGGATGCATAGAGGAAACTAATATGTGGAAGCTATGAGGTAGCTTTTTGATAGAGAGACAGAAAGGGGAAGTGCAAAGAACGATAACAAAGGTGGTGGGTTTAGCAAGCATTGTTATTTTTCTTGAAAACAAACATTAATTAAATGGATAAGGATTCAACAACTACAGTAAAATGATAGAGTAATAAGATATTTCCTTCATTAACTGGAGTCCATATCAGTACAGATAGTTGAAGATATACCTGAATTGATACAGATAGTTGAGAAATGTCAAAAGGACACAAATACCCTTAGTACCACTTAAACAAGAAAGCTTTACTCTAGATACACTTATACAAGAATATTTAATATACAAATGATTACCCAAAATGTAGACAAACATCAGAACCTGAAATGGAGAGGAAACACCGGAAATTGAGAGTAAACATTGACGATTATGTGATAAATGACTGAAAAGAACACTTTAAAATTGCTAACAAAAACCTGTATTGTTAGAGAACGTTTGTAAATTAATAGTGTTTGCCTCCTGGTTCTGCAATAGAGAGAGAGAGAGAGAGAGAGATGGTTGGAGACCTATGACCACAAAAAGAGAAATTCTCAAATTCACAAAATTTTGTCAGTTAAAGAGCACTAACCTTGAAATCGTGTTGGATCCTGGTCCACTGTGACACTTGTGAAAATGGTTGTCTGAGGTTTCTAGAGAGTCGAGTGCGACCAGCTGTGAGTAGTAGATGGTTAGGTCTCCAGGTATGTGTGTAAAATGCGTAACACTTACGACCTCACAGATAAGAAATTTTTTGCAGTCAATTGGTCATATAAGGGGATGGGGCAGAGATATGAAGAAAAAGATTCGTTCTAGACTTGACCGGTGCAATCGATCAAAATCAAATAATTAGAGAATAGAACAGTAGCATATGCTAGATGTCGAGAGATGGGGGTTGTGAACGGTGGTAAGATGAAGTGCGATGATGATGAAGGTGGCCTGTTTGATGGTAGTGAAGGTTATGTGACAACAAAGTTTACTGATGGTGTTGTGATGTTCGATATTCGGGTTTCTAAAGGAGATATGCAAGAGAAGAGAAAGGCAGAGGTGTTTAGCAGCGACTGTAATGGTCTCAGTGGTCAAGGTGTGGTGGGTAACTGCGTCGAATATGGGAGGAATTTTAGAGTATTTAATAGAGAGGGAGAGAGTTCAAGGAGAGAAGAGATGGCGACTCATCTAGGGTTATTCTACAAGGAAGGGCTATAGATACTAAGATAAGAGATGATATATAAAGTTTATCTATAGACCGATTCAATTGGCAAAATCTGAGGAAGACGGGTTCTTCTTTGACCAGTTCAATTTGAAGAAGAAAGCCAAAGCCTATTCAATATGTACGTAATTCATGTTAACCGCGTAAGATTTGGTATTTTTCTATGCATAAACTCATTGTAAATAGCGTAATAAGGGTTATACCTCTTAAAATTTAATATTATTTTATTAATGATTACTTGTACTAACAGCTTAATGGTTTGGACGTCTTAAAAAATATTATTATTATATTGAATCTATTTATGGAAATAGTTGGATTTCTATTATAAAGTAGTATAGATATATATATCTTCAGTTAGAAATACTCACCGTCACTACCGTGAAATATGAGCACTGCCACTTACGAAAAATATGAAAACGACCACCACGATGTAACTTGACGAACATGGCGACGATCCTTCTTTTTTGGTGTAAAATCGCGGGCTTTTAGATATTTTGAAATCCTTCCTTTAGTAATTTAAATTTGTCATTTTTCCCCTTGAATTAGTTGGAATTAGCCCCAATGGCAAATTGGTAATTATTGGGAGCTTGAGTTATATGATGGGTGTACATGTGGGTACGCTAAGCGTACTAGGGCGCGCCTAGTACGTTGGGCATACACATATGTACGTTGGGCATACATGTTTTCGGGTGAAAACCCTAACT